ACTCCACACACGCGCGCACAGCCTCCTACTCCAGCTCGCTGCGAACTCCGACGTCACGTCCAAGTGCACTCCTACTCCACCCCGCGCCCCACCTGCTCCGCCTCCCGCCCCGGGACGCCGGCCGCAGCCCTGGCCCTCCCCTGCTCCCCGCCAGGTCTGCTGCAGCCGTGGGCACCACCTCCCGCGCCAGCCCCGTCACACGCCAGCGCGTCCCGGGAGCCCCCGAGAAGCCTGGCGTTGCACAACTTTTACAGGGAGCTGTTCGCGGGGGTGTCGAGGTGACTCCTCCCTGTGCGGTCCGGAACTGTCCTTTCTCCCGCGGCTGGGCCGGCCGGCCGTGCGCTGGCTCCTGGAGTCCGGAGCCACATTATTTAGTCCGGCCCAGGATAGCTCTTTCAGGGAAGACGCCACGTCCACAGAAGCAAAGCAGCTGGCAGGAAGCAAAGGCGGCAGGTGCGGGCTCCTGCCCACTCGCGCACCCGCCCAGGCCGGGCGGGGGAGCCGGAGGCGACCGGAGGCCCAGTGCCTGCAGGTCTGCCCTCCGCCTGCCCTGCTGTCACCGGCCAGTGGTGCTCTCAGAAGCCATGACTGACCCACACATCAGTGGATGGGGGTCCTCAAGTGACCACCAGGTCCCCAGGGGTGCTTGTTCCCTGGCAGGACCTCGCCAGTCTTGTGGAGTGACTGCTGTCACAACAGTGGCTGCTGCCCTCTGCCAGTGGATGGCAGGGTGTGACAACCCCAGAATTCCAGGGTCCTCTGGGCATCTCATCCTCACATCCCGCCAGATCCTAGGGGACGGCGCTGTCCCTGGTTGGTTAAGTCCCTGTCCAGGGTTTCATTGCCTGGGCACTTTGTGGCTCCGGTCTCAAAGCTGAGCTCCGTTGCTGTGTCATCCTAATTCCTGCAAGGGTGACTGGTGTGCAGGGGTTCACGGTGACCTTAGAGTGCCGGGGTTTCCCGGGTTTGGTGCCTACCAGCTCTCTCTGGCAACAGTGCCGCACACCTAGGTCTCGTCAGAGACCCCTGTCAGCAGCTCGTGCAGGGCTCTCGTTAGCGCTTGCTCTCTTGAGCAGCCGTGA